CCTGCTTCGGCTTTGCTTTTCCATCGCGGGCAACGGGGCTCCCCGTCGCCTGCCATTGCTGGAAGTTTTAGCAGCAGACGCCATGAAACTGAGAGAGCTGCTATGTCAGAAATTTCCCCAGGTCCTACAAGCTATGAAAGAAGCAAAAAAGCCTCGTCCAGAAACATCTACAATGGCCTTCTTGTTGTTCGACAAGGAACACACAGCTATGCGACAGTTCTGCGACCTGTTGCCTAAACATGGTTTTGCTTTGGTTGGGCCGGTCTTTGACGCAGTGCTCGCTGTGCCAGAAAGGCAGCTCAGCGATGGGGATGACCACACTTCCCGTGAGTTGGCCTTGCTGGCTGATTTTGAAAGCCTGACAGGCATCACCATGCAAGTCAAAGCCTTGGACACTGCCCCGCCTGTTCTCACAGTCCAACGGATTCTGGATGACATTCTGGCCTCGAATCAGGGCATTCGAATGCACAGCATCGAGCACGTACCTGGATGCTACTCCTGCATCGGAACAGCTCTCCTCAATTTGTTTCCCGAAGAAGAATCTCCCACCCTACGATACCCACCAATGGTCCCAACTGCTGTGGTCGTCGCATATTTTCCGCCTTTTCCTCCAGTCAAGTCGGAGCTTCGCTGTCCGAGGTTTACGGAGCGAGGAAGGATGCCTCAACCCGCATGAGACTTACAAGTGCACCTTGTGCCCCTGGAGGAAATTCAGCCGAAGATCTTATTTGTTGACGCACGTCCAGAAGTACCATAAACCTGAAATGGATTTCGTGACGACCAAGTACCAGTTCCATGTTGCATGCGCCATTTTTGAGCAAAAGCAGGCCTGGAAGCTTAAAACGCGACACTCACTTCCGGATAGCTTTCATTTTTTAGCCCTTGACAGGCGCTCTGCGCTTTGGCCGTCCCATGCGTTGCAGACGAGCAATTGATACGCCAGGCTGCGCAATGCATTCGCACCTGGTCCGACCTCGACCCTGAGTCTTTGGCCTATGTTGCAACTCAAAATTCCATCGACCTGGTTTTGTTGTTGACGCAGGATGGCCCAAAGTATGTCCTCAAGCAGCAAACTGCACCTGCGTTGCGTGTCAACAAGATGCTATACATCACCAATGACTTTGCTGATTTGCTCCTGGCCAAAGCAACCAAGCATAAGGGCAAGATCCACAGCATGTTCAACGAGGGGTAGCCCTTGTGCGTGGCTCGGGTGCCGTCGAGCAGACACCCGCCAGGCTGTTTTTGCTCAGGTCATGGCTTCAACCTCCGTCAAAAACTTGCGGGATGCTTTAGTCAATACGGCCACTGACCACAAGGAATGGCTGGTTTGTAGCCACAATGCCACTTTTCAAGTCCTGTTCAGTGCCATCGGACAGCTACCGATGCAACAGAAGAAAGGTGAATACCGCGCACTCCATACCTTTCTGGGGCGTTCCGGGGCCGTGCCGGGCTTCAGCCTCCAGAGCACAGAAGGGCCTGCCAACTTTTGTTCAGCTGTTGCCGAAGTCCTCCCACTCAGCGCCCGGCTCACTGCGCAATACCTCTTTTCAGACAATCCTGCCTTTGTGGAAGGTGCCAATGCAGTATTGCCAAACCTCGTGGCTGTGGCTGAAGATGCCTTGCATTTAGTGCTGCGCGTCGAAGCCTGCACAGGAGAGAAACGTACTTCCTTGTCATCGTGCCTCCTCCGGGTCATGAAACGCTTCCGCTTGCCTTGCCCAGGACCTTTCTACCACGGTCGCACCAACGACGATGACTGTGATCAAGGGCATTGGTCCGAGGACTTTGCCGAAGAGGATGTACCTGGCGATTGGAATTGGGATGACAGGGTGGTAAAGCCATACTCAAGCCACCAGGAATACATTGATGACATCCAAGCGCTCTGCGCTCAACACTTCGACCAGATGCACAAGAAAGACAAGAAGGGCCGTACAATCGAGCAGATCTTGCGAGCCGGTGTGTCCTACAAGCATTTCCGTTACCTATGGAACGGCTCCCACATCATAGAAGCCCTCCACCATGCCATGGACCCGAAGGAAGTGGAACTCCTCAGCTTTGGCACCTGCAGCAACGAGGCTTTACATTTCCAGCTCAAAGCCTGTCAAGAGCAAATCATCCAACAGCACATCCAAACCTTTCCTCCGCAGCTGGAAGCATTCAGCTTGGCAAAGCTGTTGGCGCATCATTCGGCCGCGTACCACCCAACTTTGGCGCAGAGAAAGGAATCAGAAATCTTGAGCTTGATGCAAGGTCGTTTGATCAAAGGGTTTCTGCCACCCTTGGAGGAGAGGCAGATTGGACCAACCCTTTGCAGAGAAGCCTTGCGCAAGCCTGTGCATAGCTTGGATCCCAGGAAGGTTGCAGCCAGGAAAGCCTTGAAGGCAAAGAAAGCCGAGCAGTGGCGGAAGGAAGTGAAGAACAGGAAGCTGAAGCATCCACATCGTGCAGCACAACCAAGTTCACCGAAAAGAACCGTTTTTACGCAAAAGAAGTGCCTTGGCAGAAGACTGAGCCAAAAGTATTGCCATACTAAGAAGAACAACCACCGTTAAGCCAAGCCACAGCATAACCATGGCACTAAAAAACAACGCCTACGCCATGCACTTTATGCAAAGAGCACCTGATGTGAACCTAGGCGGCCAGGTCGTCGTGCGCAAGGAAGCGCCGCGTCTTCCACGGCTGAAGCAGGGTGAGGTGAGCTTTCCATTGTTCGGCCAGGGGCAAGCGTCTATCGCACCAACGCTATAATTACACGCGCATAGCTAGAAGGTGGCCTCATGCGTCTGTTTTTGTTTGATTTCTCAGTCGTTTACGTTTTGGCTTCTTGGATGCGTGGTATATCTGTAGTATTACCCTCTCGTTTGCGTCTTTGTCAAACATGTCAATAAGACTCACATGTTTGGAGCTGCCTTGTACCCACTGAACCATTACAGGCCGCGATGACGTTTCAATCCTACGGATGTTTGCATTTCACACGTGTCGACGCTGAACGGTGTGTTCGGTAAGTATATGAATACAGATTAATTTATATAAGTTCATGCTTGCTCACTGTTTCCACCCAGTGCGCTGTGGAATATGATTGCGCATGCATGTGCGTTGCAAGTGCATCCCATATTTCTACGCGACTTTGTCAATGCCTGTGCGCAGTTTACGCTGTGCTAAACCTGGGTCAAATATTGCAGAACAAGTTGTTTAAACACAATAGTTGGAAAGCTGCAAAAATTGGGCCTTTTTATTTTCCAGTGGCATTAAGTCCTCTCCTTTGGGCCGCCAACTAGTTACTAGTTTCTACACACAAATCGAGATCGACGACCGGACGATCAGAAGCACACGCAACTTTTTCCGCTCAACGGACACGGGGTATGTAAGTGCACACGGGGTATGTAAGTGCACGTGTTTCACACGTCCTGAAAAGACTTTCACAAAGTTGCATGACGTTTCCGACTTCGGGGTCGCATTTTTCAGCATTACCTGTGTAAGCTTGCACTTAGAAAACCAGATATATCTGATATATATATATATATGTTTTTCAAGGCCCGCGGTGCTAATAATGCGTTCCTCTTGCGCTGTATCATTTGCATTTTCTTGGTGTCGTTTTCCTGCCTACTGTGTCGCGTTTATTTACCGTACCTGTGAGTCCTAATCGAGCGACTAGGTAAATCTGACAAGTTTCATGCATCCAGTCTCTAGGACTTAAGGCGCTATCACGGGTGACCGCTTGCACGCGGATCATGAAATCGAAGATGCAGAGAGCAGCTGGCTGCGCCGCGCCCTGCATATCAGTCGGTCGTTACAGCAAAACTAAAATCAATATGCAATGTTAGATACGATAGTAACATTCACCTGCATATCAGTATGTCATGACTGGCACAAACTTCAGGTCAGACTGCAATAGTAGGTACTATATATAATATCAAATCCACCATGCAGAGAGCAGCTGGCCGCGCCGCGCCCTGCAGATCAGTATGTCACTATGGGCAAACCTATAAGGTCTGGTTGGGGCGTTCCGTGTACCCAAACACTGGACCAAACATCTGCCCAATCAAACCGATGCAGCCGATCTGTCCGATCAAACCGATCCAGCCGATCAAGGAATCGATGCAGAGTGCGCAGCAGGATGATTTGTGCTGCTTTCTTGGGCAGTTCAGTGGCAGACAAAGCTAAGGGCATCAATAGGATCCAGCTTCAAGATGTTTTGGTTTTTTTCAGCCTTGAGGTTGGACTCATGAGCACGGAACAATGCCAGGCACCTACAAAAATGGACATGCCGGAGGAGGCGTCCTACTCTGACCACTACCGAATTTTGAATGCTGCGGGCGATGAGCACGGAACCCATACGTCGGATTCCCAATGTAAATTTCTCCTCTCAGACCACTTCTATTCGAGAACCATAGTAAGTGCGCTAAACTCTGCAAGACAAGCTGTTGTACTCTATCCAGTGCTCAACCATTCGTTAGTTGCTGTTTCACAGCGACACATAGACAACTGACTATGCAAAAATGCGAAATAAAGGACATTGCTGTGTGTCCCACTATAGGGGGGTCGACTCAGAAGACCGCAGGTGTGAGTACAAACCTAATCTAAAAATGAAGCCGCTAAATGGTCGCGAACCGTCGAAGGCACGGGGGGCCCCCCCCCCCGACGAACAGAATCAACTCTTACAGGACCAAATTCAATGCACAATCCCAACTCCTGATTGTAATACATTTTTGCTAAAGCAAGGAGAACTCAGGTAGCTCAAGCTACCTTTCGTGATCAAAAAAATGATTTAAAACAAGCCCCTCCGTTCTATATTGCAACCGCGTTGGTCCAACCACAACTCCTGGGAGATCAAGGGTGGGCCACGGCCTAGAATTGATTCGTGACACAGTTTTGTCAATCTAGGTCTATCCCTGCACTTACAAGTGCTCATCCGGTAAACTTGGGGCCGTTCTAAAAGCGGCTCACCCAACAGAACCCAGCAAGTCAAAAATGCTGCCCACACCTCCGTGCCCACAAGCCTTGCGGGCGGTCTCTCTGGTAAAGGTTCCGTCGGCTGGGCTGAGGGCTGGCCATGTTGTAAGGTTGAGGTCGGCGAGCTGCAAGGCATGTGGCCTTCACATCTGTCACACCAAGCTCTGGAAATTTCTTTTTACTCCTTTCGAGTCATTCGTTACCGTAACTCTGTTGATTCCCAACTTGCATGCTTGCTCCCCAAGGGCCGCCATGCGCGCCCACCTGGTTCAAAGTAATCGGCAGCTTGCCTTAGTGGTATCATACTGCACCAAGAACAACAATACTAAACCCTAATTCTAGATAAAAATAGGTTCCTCGAGGAACTTTATACAATCATTCCTTATTCTACGAACATCATCGGTCCCAATGTTACTACAATATTAGGTGTCTATATGCGCACATATATATATATACGTACGTACGTACATACGTACGTACGTACGTATGTACGTACGTACGTATGTATGTATGTACGTACGTATGTATGTATGTACGTACGTCTGTATATGTCTGTATATGTCTGTATATGAGTTAGCGTCAAAAATATATGCTTGGAGTGTTTTCGTTTCACTTTTGTCAGTCCCCTATCGTTTTGCATGGTTTTGGATTTTGCAAGTATGTATACATAGGGGTATCGTTTTTTGTCAGTCCCCTATCGTTTTTCAAGGAAAATCACGAAAGCAACACAGAGATGAAACGTCCCTTACTAAAGTGGTTGATGATAATTTTGAGGTTGCCTCATATACATTTCTCCTGGGTTTGATGTCATTGTGGGACCTGCCCATGATGATCTCCTCCACACTCATGAACTTGCTTCCCAATTGCACCTCTTGCACGCCCATGCTACTTGTTTGAAACATTTGAAAGGCCACTTGACAGTTCATCAAAAGCTCCGTAAAGGAAAATGAGAAGCCGGGGATGGATGACCCTTCAACTTCATTGTTCTATATTCCGACTAATCTCGGGGAGAGAGAATACAGTCACCCAAAATTAAGATAAATCTTAAGAAAATGGATCTGAAAGTCGGAAAGCCTCAGAACTCCAACAATTTCAATACACGGCTAAACTTTTGCAAAGTGTCAACCCACCAATGATGAGCCTGGAGCTATTCCAACTTCGAAAAGGCGTCTTCTATGCCTCTGCGCTCCCAATACGGCCAGTGTGTCAACTCCTTGAAGAACGAGGCCAGGGCTTCTGTTCCGGATCTGCGCCTAATGAGATGCAAGAAAAAAGCTTGATGTATGGCCTTCGGCTTTGTGTATGAAGTGTTTGGCTTTGGTGTGTTTGTGTTTGCCACGGGGGGCGCTTTGACAGCACAACTTACATAATTTCAGCCAGCAACGACCCCAGCAGCAGTAGCCGCAAAGTTGAGTCGGTTGCCAGCAAGCATTTGTTGGTCCAAAGGGAAGTCCGAATCCACCAGAGATGCGCCAGGCATAAAAAGCAATCCAGCCTGTGCTATGGTAGAGTCGATTAAGAAAGACCCTTTCGCGACCTCGAACGACAAATAGTAGCGATTGTGACACTGATGCCTCATGTGCTCTCTGTTGTCCAGGTGAGGTTCTTTGACCATGGCACTGAGCAGGGGCTTCGCAAGCAGCGTGCAATAGACGATGGTCAAAGAGGTCAAGGCAATACAAACTAGTGCAGGATCAAGCATCTCCAGCTGTGCTTCTGGCATTGTTTGGTAAATCGTGAGGGCCACCGTTGAGGTCACAATCACTAAGTTCTGGCTCACCGCTCCAACGGTCGAAACCGGAAGTAAAACTTCACGAACTGACCATCCAGCACGAGGGGCCCAGCGTTGCAGGGCAGGTGCTGCAGCAACTACAACTGTTGTTTGTTGGACCATAGCTCCCAACAAGGCCGTCACAACCTGCACCCGCACAAATGCCTTGGTATGTGTTTCTCTGGTCCCCAACATGCGGGAAAAAATATGATCCAGAACGCCTGAATCTTGGATGCCCGCCACGAGCAGCAAGACTGCTTGAAAGGCAATGTTTCCAGAGCTAGAGAAGCCAGCAAGGGCTTGCTCTGTGGAAATCATGCCAGTGCTTCCCAAAAAGGTCACTGCAGCCAGAAAAACGTGGTGGCTCCGATAGCCACTGATCATCATGGTTGTAGCCACCAAGAGCACGTTCCCAACAAGCAAAGCTTGCCATGGGTTTGAATGGCATCTCACCTTTCGTCCCGGCCCGGTCTCGCAAACCTCAAAAAGCTTTTGCCATTCTGGGTCATGCTCTGCTCGAAATCCTACAAACAGGGTGGTGCTAATGGCACACATGCAGAGCACCAGAATTCCTCAGTCGGTTGGCATTCAGTTATGCAGTGAAAGTTCAATTCGTTGGATAGCTGCGTCGTTTCTCAGTCGGCCGGCATTCATTCAATTGTTTCTATAAACGATTTATATTTCGAAGGGTGTCGTGGAACTTAGCTCTCTGTTTATGTGCACTTTGTGGCTAACTTTCTACGGAGCTCTGGCGCTGCACATCTCCAGGACATAGCTCCGTCCAGTTCGGAAGCTCCGCATTGGGGTCACCGGCGAGTGGGGCGAGCTCGGCTCCATGGGCAAAGGTGAAGCAGTCGGAGGGCAGACTACAGGTGCCTACAGTATATGTTTTACTATCTTCGAGGACAGGAGGGTGGAAAGGTCTTCGAAAGGGAATTCTTGACTACAGTGACTACCGTATGTTGCATGTTTTAATATCTTGTGCATTTCAAGACCTGTTGCTCGATGCCGCGCTTCAGAATCGTCAGCCTCGTCGCCTGGTATCTGCACCCGTTAGTTGTTGGTTGTTGTTCCCAAGGAACGCATTTGTTTCTTTTCCTTGTCCTTTTCTTCTTAATCTTTAGTATTTTAGATAAACTTTAGACTTTAGACCCTTCTTTTTTTGGATCTGGTGTATTTCCCGCGGGTATTATATTGTTTGAACTTGCAGCACAAGGCTCAAGAATCTTACAAGCGGCGCAGGCACTTTCGGAAAACAGTGGAGGAGCAACACGGAAGCAACATACTGAGCTCGAATGAGAATACAAATGCATACCTTTTTTTGCGCATACCTATGACTCGTTTTTGCAGCAAAGTTGACCCTTTGACGCAGCTGGGACTTTGCACCAGTTGGAAAACTTTGCTGGACCTGGCTATGGCAAAAAGCTTGACAATCTGCCAACTTGATGCTCTGTGCTCAGCAGAAGTTGCATATTTCCCTGATGTTACTCAAGCTCGGAGTGAGCTGATGGCAATCTGACTTTTGACAAAATGTTAGAAGAAAGAGGCTCCCTGATCATCTACTACTGACAGATTAATCTTCCATGTCGTCTCAGGATTTCATGAGCACGGTGGAGGACACTTCTTGGGTGTGGCCTTGGCGTTCTACTGGAACTGTTTGACACGTGTAGCCTCCGCGACAATACGTGTGGATCAAATTCTCAGCATCCGACTTTGTGCACTTGAGCCTTGCATTCATGAGTGATCATATCTCACATGACCTAACAACATAGTTTTGCAGTCCTGGAAGTCTTGGAAACTTGAGCTGGCCGTGAGGCCAGGGTACCAGTGTGGATGCTCACGAATGCCTAAGCCAGGGACAAGCAACTTCTTAAATGAACAACATATATAAACATGTTCTCGTCTGAGCTGCCGTGAAGCATTGCCCATCTTACTGCAGAATAGCAAGACTCTCCGGCTTTCACATCCTGGAGGGAAAACGATCGAAATGAGATGACAGGGCAATGAGACCTGAAAGCTCTCAACGTTTCAAACGACTATATAAGCTCTGGAAGACACAATGCAGTTCGAGCAAGCAAGCCATCGACTGAAGAAATGGGTCTGTAAAGTTTGTTGCTGGTGCTTGGGGTCTATTTTCGTTCTGCTCTTCAGATCTGCATGCCAAGCAGCTCTGCAACCTGGTATCGCTGCAGCTGGGGCTGCAGTTGTGGCTGGAGCTGCTGGGGATGGAGATGCACTCGCAGCAGAGCCACAGGGCACAGGACAAACATTTGGCGAGGCCTTGGAATCCAGGATCGGTAGAACCTACTTTGCCAACTTGATCATCTTCAACAGGTCCAGCACTATACAAATACAAGAATGTTGCGAAGTGCGCTTCTCAATGTGAGGCAGCAGCCTTGTGCACCTGAGCCTCGGAGCGTTCAAACAAAAACGCCATCTGTCGTATCTATAAGGAATGCTTGACCTGCTTGAAAAACCAAGCACCTGCCTGGAAGTCAGAGAAGCTTGAGCTGGCTGACAGGCCAGGATACCAGCGGGGATGTACATGTATGCCTGGATAGCACTTGCGTTTTGGAAACTGTGCATAAAAAAGCTTTTGAGTACCAGCAGGCGAAAACCACAGGGGGCAACATCGATCCACTATGCCTCACATCAAATCTGGACCCATTCTGGCAAAAGCAAAACCGATCAGCTCACGCCGGCTCGTGTGGCTTACAGCAGGCGAGTCATCAAGGGGTTCTATAGCAGCGAACTACTGTAACTTGTCATTTGTGCCTGCCACTTGCATGAAGAAAGGGAAACAAGAATGCATCACTTATGCGCCACTTTTTACGCTCCCATACTTATTCTCCCATGCCCATCCTGATACTTTCAGGTGTTTTTCTCTGATGTTTTGTGAAGGCACTTCAATTGATGGCTGCTCACCTTGATGGTATGTTACATTGCAGACTCATAGCGCCTCCAGTCTATTTTGACAGGGCTTTTGGTTTCAGCTGTCACCAAGTATTCACCCTGCCCTTAACAAATGCAAAGCACTTTCGGATTGAACCTTGAGAAGCAAAAAAGAAACCATGCAACACATCATGATGAGTTGCATCTTGACTCAACGAACCACAAGTAGTCAAACCAAATTTCGGTTAGAAAAGCCAGAATGCAACTCCGTTTAGGGTGGCTGTGAGCATCTGTGAGCCCTGGGCGTTCCTTTTTGCGAAGTAAGTTGCCATCTCTCATGGCCCACCGAACGGCGCTGTAGCACTTGCTGCCAGGCATTGCATCCTCGGCTGACCAGAATGCTGCGCACCATTCAAAGACCCAACCAATCAAGCACTGTCCGTATCTGCCATACCAGAGGACTCCATGTCCAGACTGTCTATCTATATATATATATTCCTTGAAAAATATACTTGTTTATATTCTTTCCGCCCCCACCTCAAGACAGCGGCAAAGCCAGTATTATATATGTGCCAGGATTCTTCGCAGTTGGCTGGAGCTACGGAGACAGTGGTAGTGGTTGTGGTGGTGGTCGTCGTGGTCGTGGTGGTTGTGGTCGTCGTTGTAGTTGTGGTGCCCGTGTAGAACCTACAGCCCCAAACTGACAGAGGTCTTGCAGTCAAGCACCTCCATGCTGCCATGCAGCTCTTCAAATTTGAAATCGCAAGCTGGTGCAGTCATCTCGCCTTGGGCAATCATTTCTCCAATTCAGCCACGCGATCGGAACAACGCCAACGAACACAAAACATGTATATAACCACACGCATCATCCTGGGTCAGATCAGAATTTTGAGAAGACAGCACTGCAAACACTAGCAGTATCGAGAATTTCTCTCCGAGGCTTGAAAACTATTCATCATCCAGTCTGCAATCAAGACCCCCATTAAAACTCCGAATGCACAGGGCACTGACCTGCTGTGGAACAGTTTCGGCTGAAAAAGCTCCTAGTAGCTTATTGTTACTAGTAGTAAGGCCAGGAGCCCTAGCAGCGTCCTCTACACAACGGGCTCCGAACACCGGTCCCAAGGAATTACATAGCTCCCGTCATTCTGCTTCCGGTGGGGTTGAGACAACAAGGCTGAAGGTTCGCCGGAAGCTCTTGCAGCCTGGCGGCTATAGCTGGGCATATCGGGATACTTTTTCTTGAATAGATCAGCGACCTGAGTCATCGGAAACCACGCGGAGTAGCGAGAAGCTAGTAGTAACAAGTGCCACGCTAGTAGTAACAGGTGCCTTACTAGTAGTAACAAGAAGCTAGTAGTAACAAGTGCCTTACTAGTGCAAGGCATTGTGAAGTTCCCATGCGGACAAGGATCATGAGCAACTCTGGCTGCATTTGCATCGGTGTCGTTCAAGCCATCCCTCAAGGAGCAAGCTGGGTGGACAAACCCATCACCCAAGGGTCAGCGAACATGGGCAACTGCGTGAGCTCAATGCTACGAGGCACCAGAACGTTAGACCGAATCCTTTGTCGGCTGTCTTGTTGAACTCTTCATACCTCATCAGGCAAAAAGCACTAGGCAGCATGCAGCTGCACATTGAAGCTGGGTTCTGAAGAAAGCTCAGTTCACTGCCCAGCTTTCACAAATGCAGCATAGTTGGAGATGCCTTCTATCTCATCCAATTCCAACACCTCATCCCCAAGCAACTTCAGTCAGGTTATGGTTTTAACTCCAAGTTGGCAAGCCCTGACTGTTTTCCTTTGAACGGGTCCTTATTCTGTGTCCTAGCTTCAGGTGCAATATTTTGAACTCATTGCGGCTTGCCAACCCCTTTAGGATATATGCACCGCTACAATCAGGAGTTAAAAACATCAAGGACGCTACAAAGAAACCTGGCAAACAAGCCTAGAAGAGATTACACAACACATCTACCGAATTTACCGCTGTCGTGATATGAGATGATGTAGCAAGGTGTTATAACAGCGCGCGAACTTGAACATCTCTCATGCCAGACCAGTGGCTCCAGCGTCAGAAATACTGTAGGTGCAGTTGCCCTGTCCAGTTGGGGTTCCTTCCTTGGACCCGCAGAGGAGAACACAAGAAGCTCCTGCAAAGGGGCATCACTGAGGTACAAACACACATCCCACCGGGCTGGTCGCGGTTGCAACTAGCATCCTTCTCCTGCCGCTCGCCGCAGTTTAAGCGATCTACACAACACAAAAGCGAGGGCGACAACTGCTGAGAAGTTTGAAAGGTTGGCTGTGGCATCACGTATGTGGACATCCCACGAACAAACCCACTGAGAATCATCAGTATAAGTTGTGCCAGCTGCAAACAAAAGAAACGGCACTGCATGGAATTACCCTCATAGAATGGCACCTCCGCCGAGATATCTACTGAAATTCGCGCATGGTGATTGCAAGGAACCTTGATTGGTTGTTAGCTGTTCTCCAGCTACACTCGAACCTGAATGTCCACCCGAAAGAACATGTTATATATATATATATTTGTTTAATATATATATATATATACGTATATATATATGTATAAATGTCATTCTGTTGGGGTTCCCTAGGAGTTACTTCTCTTCACCTTCTCTGTCTTCTTCTGAACCATCCAGGACTCCAAACTTGAACTTTGAAGTTTCCTTCATACAACCTCTTGCCCAATGACGCATAAATACGTTTTTTCCCCAAACAGTTTACCTGTGAGGGGTTCTTACTCCTTTGCAAGGGTGCATCACCGGGCCGCGTGATTTGACATTTGTCTCCGGCCATGCGTTCCTGCCACACTGTGGTTGCTGTGGCCGCATGATTTTACACTTGTCTTCCATTTGCCTCCCACTTTCTCCAGTCTCCTGTGCGTGCTTTGGCATGCTTTGGCCGCATGATTTTTACACTTGTCTCCCATTTGTCTCCCACTGTCTCCAGTCTCCTGTGGGTGCTTTGGCCACATGAATTTTATTTACACTTGTCCCCCATTTGTCCCCCACTTGTCTCCAGTCTCCTGTGCTGTGGGTGCTTTGGCCGCATGAATGGTTTTACCATTGTTTGTGGGTGCTTTGGCCGCACACTTGCCCCCCACTGTCTCCAGTTCGCTGTCGGTGCTTTGGCCGTATGATTCTGTACACCTGTCTCCCATTTGTCTCCGCAGTGGGGACAGTGGGAGACAAGTGTAAAATCATGCAGCGAGACCACCCACAAACTCGTGGTGGGAAGCTTTTAGCATAAAACCACGTGTCAGTGCAACTCAGCATATTGAGTAGATTTGCGTATGTTCAGTGTTCGTCTGAATTGCCGGTTCTGACCTTGAGCCAAAATAGCCAAGTGCTGAAACAAGCCCAGAAGGTCCGAGTTGATCACCGCGAGCTGGAACGGTTTGAGCCATTGACTGTTTGACAGTTCGTCTCTGTGGCTTACTTCTTAGATTCATAAACGCACAAACTGTTTGGGGTCTACGCTGGTATAATTTTTTTAAATAAGCATTCCAAAGAAACAAACAATTAACGAGCAAATCCCCAAGAGGATGTTCACGCACAATGGAGCGCAGGCCCGCAATACCCTGCCCTAGTCCGTGCTTGCAAGATCAATGGGTTCTTTGAGAAACAGTTCGAAGATGGGTCTGATGTCCTCAGCACCTATCAAAATGTGCACTTTGCTCTTGAACGTTGACAGGTCTGGTGGAAAAGTAAGTGTTTGTTGCCAAAGAAGCCAGTGAGGGGGATGCTACATGAGGGCCGGGAGGGTAACAGCAGTCCGCAAAGGTGTTGGAAGAGCACGGGCCCGGAAGAGTGTACCACCTCAGTGAAAGGGAAAAAGGAAGAAGCCAAAGGAAGATATAAGGGTCGGCCTTAAATCAAAGAGAAAAGGAAGTAAAAATTTAAAAACTAAAGGAAAAGAGCATTCCTTTTCTAGCACAAACTTCGCAACAGTAAGGCTCCAGCTTGGCATCATCATAATAAATCTTGTATGTTGGAAACGGAAATTGTCCCAGGTTATTGCATCCAACAAAATAGCCATACCTGCAGAACGGCATCGGCTCATGGCAACCGCTAATTCATGTGACGTGTTTGGGCTCCTGTCTGCCACAGGTTCCAGCTTGGAAGTCTACGCCTACGCCGTTTGGATGTTCAAACGACTGGGATGCGGGCTTCTCAAAATTCAGATCGCAATTCCAAGGACCTGTGCACTGGGCAGAGTCGTAGGCAAAGCGAACCTGAGTGGCAAAAATGCTAAGATGCTAAATCCAGGAACCAAATTACTTGCCTTCCTAGGAAATCTAGGACTGAATGCTTAGAATTGCTTGGCCAAGTTATTCAGCATCTACTGTATGCTAAACCTAAGGCTTCTTCAAGGAAGCCTGAGCCCTGACCGTCCAAGCCAAATAGCGCTACTTAGTAGCTAGCCTACCTGTTGCCTAGTACTTACTGTACTTATACGCAGCTACCACATCTTAGCAGCCTACCCCCCTTTAAAGAAGCACGGTTGCTCCAATGTCCTCAAAGTGCGGTCTCGCGGCTCCAAAATTCATGCCAAGGGCAAAGAGAGGTGCAGTCGCACGTGTCGAAATCTTGTGCCGGTAGATCCTATCTTTTTCACAGATTGATGGGAGAATATGAGTCATATGAGAGTCTGAGAGAATGCATCAGCTAAACAACTCCTACCTGGAAATGTTGAACTTGCGTGGCGTCTGCCAGACAACCTGAGGTGCCAAAATGCTCAGCTGCTCAGCTCAAACTCTCCACCCCAGGAACCTCGTTGTGGAGATACCACATCACTCGAGGCAAATTTGCAACCTCGGACCCACGAGTGATGGCATCACCAACCACAGCGTGCACATGGCATCTCATCACTTCAAGAAAAGGCCAGGCTTCCTGCATTGACATTTGTGACGTAGTCCTGACCCAACAAAGAACGCAAAATACCCCTCCACCCACTCTCCAACCACGCTGAATGTGAAATAATGTGAAGGTAAAGCAAGCTCGTCAATATGGGGAGCACAAGTTGATAGGCGCTGGCAGCAGCAAGCTTTTCGGCATAGCCAAGTGACTTCATCGTCAGATTCGGCTCTGTAGACATAGAAGGTGAAGAGCGGTGCATCGCTGGGTTTCCTCCATGCGGGCTGGGGTCCTTTCTAAAAAGTGTTCACGTAGCAAGGTTATCGACTCCCATTCCTGGAAGGAATTCAAAAACCTTCCTGAAAGCTATCTACTTCTGCAAGGTCCAACCAATGGCACAACAAAGTGGTATGCACAATTCTTCCAAGCTTCTTTAGCTGCTCCGACGGCTTGTACACGAAGTGGGGGCCGCCCTTCTTGGGAGGCTCACATTGCTTGTAGTTCTCATTGACCTGCAACTAGTTCAACTGTTGAACCCTTATATACCTGCTCATTGAAAAGATCCAAGAAGCTGGCATCCACGCCTCTGTGCAATAATATCCTCCCTCGCAGCATGGCTTTCCAATGAAAGGAACTCCACCTCATCCAGCTACCCGCATCTTTCAACACAACCAATCTCAATCTAATCTAACCAAACAAATCACTAGCAGTGGCGTGCAGAAGCGCGACTGAAATACACGAGTACTAACTTATACCTGTATGTCCTGTACGGGCTATGCGGGCTATGCATCCAGGTCCACGATACCGTCCCTGGCCATAATAAAAAGGCCAAGGTGCTGGTGGTCAGTCCACCACATTGCTGATACCCCAGCTGGCAGTGCCTCAGTTGCCAAGCGGGTGGCTTGGTTTCGGGTGTGGGCAGCAGATCTACCAAAATAGAACTCTGCTGTGACAAGAATCTCCGGATCTTTATTTGTAGTGGTTGTAGTCCTCAGTTTGCTTCCAGCACTCCAAGTGGCATGCAGAGTAGCAAGCATGCGCGGGCTACTACAGTAGTTGAACCAAGCTGCGTCGTCGGGATGTTTGCTATAGTCACTTCCTTCGAAATCAGGCCATTTGGTTGCTTCGTTGTCGAGGTGGGGTTTTGTGGATGTGACGCTCTGTATATATGATAAGTCTGTCCCCTGTCTTCTGAAATGTTCTTATTCACAGAATCAAACCTGCGGAAGTCAACCCTCCGGTCCTTCTCTGTCATGCAGGAGGCTTAGTAATCGTTTGACTGCACCAATGATAGCTGGGGATAAAAAAATACGTCACAACATGCAGAACCAAGCAAAGGACTTCCTGCATGTTCCCCAACCCTCTTGCAACATACCCTGTTCCAGCGATTGCCCAAGTAATGAGGAAAGTCACTTCTCAGCCTCATGGCAAAGTCTGCCTCCTTTGCAGCAAGTGGCACCTTTCCAACCAATGCCTGCGGAGCAAACCAATCAACATGGTTGCGCAGGTGCGCTCTGGATGAGGATGCGACCACCGCACTGCGCATACGCTTCCGCGCAATTGGCCTGCCAAATTACACTTATGACTTATGGATTAAAGCATGCAAACCTATAGGTCTGTCTGTCATAGTCTGTTGCTCGTTTCCCTCTCTCTTCTTCAAATGTCCATGGAACCCATGACACCCATGGTCCATTGGGGTTTCAGGCCTCCACGTTCACCGATGCATTGGTGTTGTTGCCAGTGACGTTTGCCTTGCTATCTGCATCCACGTCCTGGCACTGGAAGCTTGAAACCGGAGGCAGGGCAAGTAAGCAGTTTCTTCTCAACACATTCCACAGTTCACAGAAACCATGTCAACATCCTTTGCAAGAGCTTCCTGAAGGCTGAGTTATATAACTATGTAACTATGTATAGCATCCCGACGAAGAACCATGCACTGCCCGGTGCCACACCTGGCTGACAGTGGCCGAGGAATTGCTTGCGTTGCTCGGAGCCTTTGAGGTCGTGCCATTGCTGCTTCCCACGCTGCCCTGGAACACAACGCGAGGAAACTGATCTTTGGTTGGCACCTGCCCATGTTTGTTTCCCTCTCTCATACACGTGACTTTCGCTGTGCTGGTTTAGCGGTGTTGCTCGGGCTAGGGGGTTCCCCGAGGCACCCGCGTGGTGGAATAGATTTTAAAAAATGCTGTTTTTCTCCCCCAGGGTGGTCAACCTTTTTTCTACCATACGTGCGGGAAAAAAGGAAAGCAGTAAAATTAATGACTGTTTATGTACCCTCTTTTCCGGGGGGTCGCCTTCTATTCCTACCACATGCATGGCACCCTTTTTCCTGGAGGGCGCCTTTATTAGTTTAACCACCCGCCCGTGCAGTAAGAAAATTGATGTGTGTTTCTTGTTTATTGTTTTGCCGTTTTCTCTGCGCGGGCGCGAACGGGTACCCCTTAGCAGAACAACGCACGCGAACCCGCTACTAAGGCCTTGCTGCAGCACATGTTCATGATCTGTTCTCTTGCACCCTATTCTTTTTTGGATTTGAATCCTGCTGCGGCCAGAATATCTGTTGGGAATTCTTCTATGCTGCCACAGAATTACTAGGATAGAACCTGGAGAATCCGGGCTGTGCGTGCTTGGTCAGGAATCCTACAATTGACAAGTGCCGTCTACGTTCAATAGAAATGAGATGGGTGAATGTTCTTGTTGCACGTCCAATGTGTGCGAAGGGGCGGACAAAGCAAAGCAAAACAAAGCACGGCGACACCTTCCTGTGCCTCGGCCTGAGCGCCATTGACTTCGGCGTCGTTTGAAGATTCTGGAGCTGGGGCGTCCTCCGACTCCAACCAAAAATGCAGTCTCTATCTTGTCAAGGTGTCTGGAACAGTTGAGATGCTCTGATACCTAGTCTTTAGGGTGGCAGCGGGCATTCTGGGTTGAGCATCACAAAAGTGTCGCTTGTGGCTTTTTGTTTCTGTTTCGTACTTCCCAGGTCCGGTGCCAAACAGCAGCTGACCTGTGCTCTAGTGTGGTCACCATGGGGTCCAACCTTCTCCTTCACTCTTAGTCTACACAAAATGGTCTGCAAATGTTGGCACGCAGTTTCCTTGACTTGATTGTTTTTGATGGTGGTGCATTCCTCTTATGTTGGCCTTCCTTAGGCACAGTTCATTCATAGGGGCATTCCAATCAAATGGCAGCAAAAAGGTGAAAATGTCAAGCCGGCCTCCTGCTCTATCCCGTTTATATGATGTTTGGCTGTGTTTTTTCTCGGTTCTTTTCAGCTCGCCAATCAGCGAAAGCCACAGGCATTCAAGCCCAAAAGTGGCATCCCCAACTCGAGAGCAAGGCTCATTCTCCTTGAACTCTCCAACACCTATGGCCGCCACCTGCAACCTCAGCTACTGGAACTGCCAAAGGAGAGTTTCTTCTGCCCCCCACCCAAGGGGCATGCATGTTGCATCCAATGAGGGACATGGCCATCCCGCAGTTTGACCTGCTTCTGACATCTTGCACAAGCAATCCAGGTGCCATGCCGCTGCAAGCTATGACTGCTATGAACCCGGGCTCGAAGCTTCAAGTCTCCTTCATGGACCCCCCCAAAGTGACAGGTCCTCTGGGTCACTTCTTGCAAGGCTTCCTTACTGCATCTGATTGGTAGCCGCTCCCAGCACCGCACACAATGAAAGTTGTGAGCCTTCAAAACCCACCTGTGCCCAGGCTGCTCAAGCGGCAAGGCCTCTGTAAGATCAACTAGATCTTTCATCTGTTCCAGCAAGGTCCTGGACCTAGTGCCCGAACAAGGCGCCCCATCTTTCCTGGCGATCTCGGCATGGGTGCTGCTGGCCTTGAGATGCATCCCACATGCTTGACATTGTAGGCCAGTTCCTTTGAGCATCCAACAATGCACACCTTCAGCGCCTTCAGCTTGCTTCCTCTGTGCCAACTGTTGCATGATCTCCAGTCGTCCCTTGGGCGCCTTGTCTTTGAGTTTGATGGCTGGTTCAACATGAGCAAGCTTGTCATGCATGTAGTGACTCTTGTCCTGAATGAGCATCCCAATGCGCTCTGCAGCAACTTTGTACACTTGAAAGTGCCATTTGTCAGCCTCCTCGAGATCAGCTGCGTAGGCGTCTCCTGCAAGGCCCTCTGCTGTGCACATCCCTTAGCTGCCTGAAACTGAAGCCACCCTCGATGGTCTCCCCCATCACCTTTGAGCAGTTTGGGAGGGACATGCAAGGTTGTCAACCTCTTCCATTCCGCTGCATCCAGGTTGTGCCATAGATCCGCCACCAGTACACTGGCGGCTCCCTTTTGCAGAAGTTGCCATCCTGCCCTGTGCAGGATGTTGATCTGATGCCTCCCAAGGATGGCTTGAAGTGCCAACCAGCAGCCGAAGACCCAAGCCCTGGACTCTGTGGCCTGCCCGGGCGTGAGGGCAGTGCAAGTCCCATCAAGCTGCCAACAGCCATCTTTCCATTGCCCAATGGTGACTGCAACAGCGTACTTCTGCAGGCGGCCATCCCGACACGTGGGTTTGACACCAATGGCAATCCTCTGGCTGGGGCTAATTCTAGTTGGCCAACCTTCCTCCAGCATGCCAGTGACTCGAATCGACTCCACTCCAACAGTCGGCCTGTAGTCCGGAGCATCATCAACCATTCCCCTTGCCCACAACGTTGCATCCTCCTTGGCCGCAATGAGCCTCTCCCAGTCCGGCGGCAAAGGCTTCTCATGGTAGCTACACTCCCAGATGAGGTGCTTCATAGCGACAGGCACATTGCACAGAGGACAGACAGCCCTGCCTCCATGGGTGTTTGCACGGAGGCACCCTTGCGTCCAAGCATCCACCGCCCCCTTGAAGGTGCCTTTGAGCTCTTTCATGACTCGATGATACGTGGTCCAATCCGGCCTCCGCATCATAGGGAAACAATGCTCGAGCTCCTGGATGCGTTGGGCCCTCTGCACAGCCAACTCCTCATGCAGCTGCTTTTGCAAGTAAGGCCATGGATATTCGATATTCAGCTGCACTGCCTGCCGGATCCCTTTTGCTGGCCTCACCCAGTCATCAAGAGCAGCTGCATCCCACTGCATGTCTATCAGGTACGCCTGCAATGCTGCCACGGGCCCTGCCACCACCATCCACGGATGTGCTCAAGAGACCCGCCACGTGCTTGAATCAATTGATGCATGGCTTTCAACTGACGTTCGATGGCCGTATCACGTGGATCCTGTAGCTTGGCATGCTGATCAAACACAATGTCAGTGCTGCCCCCTTTCTGGAGCCCTCCATGCCTGGCCAGTTGCTGCTGCAGAACCTTCAACCTTTGGGGCGCCATGCCCTGTGCTTCAATGCCATAGCTGACTGCTGCATGCACCGAGGTCTTCCACACCCTGATTCGAACCGGTCGGGATTGGAGCTTGAGATGTGTCAGCTTCATGTGACGTCCACGTCCCTTGAGAAGCCGCTTTTGCTGGGCCCCAATCCTTCTCCTTCTCGCTCCGCTTGAATCCAGGCCAAGGTCCTTCAAAAGATCGTGGGCCTTTGGTTGATCCTCCCTACGATGCAGGTTGATGAACCTCTTGCACTCATTGGTGGACGTCAGGTAGCCAGTCTTGGTAGGCGAAAGCTTGAGGCCCGCATGTTCCAGTCCCCTTTTCAGCTCTTCATATCCAGCCAAGGCTTCTCTGCATACAGTGATGGCATCTTGTCCCGCAAAGTCAACTGAAATGTCATCTATCCATACATCAACCGAAGACCTTGGATGCTCACTGATGAAGCCTTCAATCACTGGAGCCAGGACCAATTTGGCGACTAGCGGAGCAATGGGGCATCCGGCCAGGATTCCTTTCTTGCAGAAAACTGCTCCACTCGTGACTTGCTCTGCTTGTAGGAGACGAGGCCCGCTGTAAATTTCATACAGAAAGTTCATGTGAACAGCAGGGAAGTCCAACGGTTCCCATAGTTGCAGAAGCTGTTCCAATTCAACAGAATCATCAAAGGAAGTTTAGTGTGCAAAACTTCCGTGTTACGGACATTCAACAGCTGTTCAACCACCACTCATCATACATCACTCATCATACACCACTCATCATACACCACTCATCATACACCACTC